GGTGACGGAGCCCTGGCCCAGGCTGCCCAGGGAGGTTGTGGAGTCTCCTTCTCTGGAGATATTCAAGCCCTGCCTGGACAAGGTCCTGTGCAGCCTGCTCTGGGTGACCCTGCTTGGGCAGGGGGTTGGGCTGGGTGACCCACAGAGGTCCCTGCCAACCCCGAACATTCTGTGATTCTGTGATCTACTCCAACCCCCCAATCAGCAATGCCTAGGGTTCAGACTGACTGCCATTTCATTAGGATTTAAGCTTGTCCATAAATTTTAGCACATTAATTGCTGAATCAGCCCGAATTTACCTCCTGTTTGAGCCTAAGGGCCCCATCCTTTCTCTGGGGGTAGGATTGGACCAGGACCGTGAAGCAGGTACACGTTTGACCAGTGGTGCTGTGATTCATTTACAAAGAGCGTGTGAGGTACGCAGAACGGGAACTGTGTCAGAGGAATTGGCGATCTCAGCCCTGATCCCAAGGAACTGCTCTGTGTGTTTTAAATCCAGCGGCCGAGGTGGTTGCTGGTTGGCAGCAGGAGGTGGGGATGTGTCTGAGCCAGGTAGGAGCTCTGCGTGCCGTCGCGGGCTCCGTGTCGGGCTGCGGCTCTGGCTTTGGGTGAAACATCTGGTGAGCAGAGGGTGTTCAGCTCCAGTAGCAGTCTGCTCGGCGGGAGATGGTCTAAGATGGAGAGCCGGTGGGTGGCCCCCCCCCAAAAAAAAAGGACGCCCAGGAAGGCCCTGGGTACGAGATGTGAACGTTTCCATCCCGAGCCATGTCAGGAGCGAGGGAAGGGGTGAGCCGTCACGAAGAGGTGCAGAGGGACGAGGTGATTTTGTGTGCCCCTGACCGGCTGACGAGGGGTGATACAGAAATGGAGCCCAGGAGTGAGATGTGGCCACTGGTTCGTTGACGAGCACGTGTTAATAACTGCACCGCAACGACGTGTTAGCGGCCTGCGATCAGGACTCCTGTCATGGGAGCTGCTGTTCTGAGCCGCTGATAGCTGTCAGGAGCGACAGATGAACGTCAGGGCCCAGAGCTTCCCTTCTTTATCGCCATGCCTCAGTGGAGCAGCTCAGGGAGCAGAGCCCAGGGGCTTCTGTCCTAACTCTGATGTTCCTGTTCCTTTCAGTTTGATTTATCCTTCAGCCCCGTTATGGAGCTGATTTCCAAAACCATTCAGACATTGCCTGCTCCATTTGAGCTACCAATCTTGTATTTTGCCTCTGTGAATTCAAGGCTGGCGTGCAGCCCCCAAGCCACAGTTGGTGGGCTCCAGGCTCTCCTCTCTAATCTTCACCTTCTGAGATTATCTCCAAAGTCCCGCTCCTCGGGGCATTTCCACCCGGGTAAAGCAGTGTCCCTGCTCACTCGCAGTCCTTGCTGCATGCAGCTATTGCAGTGAAATTTTCTTTAGCTCAAAGGTGAGTTTGCTTTGTTGATACGTTGATCGCATTCCTCCTGGTTTTGTCTTCTCTATCTAGTTGTGTGCTTAAATTGCAGTGCTTGCTCGCCTTCAAGAGCAGTTGCTATTAGGCGTAGTCCCTGAGTTAAATTCTGATATAGATTATAATAAAGAATAAAATAATAAGAAGATATATCCTACTGGGGGATCTGTTGATTAGAGGATGGAGACTAGACCTCCAGAGTCTATAGTAGCTATTTTTGTTTTTCAGCTCAGGTTTTAGCTGTTTCGTCTTCTCTTCAAGAACCAACAGAGTGAAAATATTTTCGCTAGAGCTGACTCCACGCAGAAACACCTGGATGTGGTTGTGTGTCTCTGTTTACGTCTCAGAGTATCAGGGTAGCTTCAGTTATCTGAGGCATCTCAGCCTACCGTTGCTCTAGTTAGTGAAGAGTTTAACTGGTGGTGTAAAGGTTGAGCTTTCGCAATCCAATTTTCAGTGTACTTGGGAACATCTTGGGACCATCATCCAGTGAAGCCTGGACGCCTTCCCGTTGATTTCTCAATTGATATGAGATGCTGGTGGAATGAGGTTTCCATCTCTACCATCCCTCTTTCCTACCCCCCTGTCTTCACAGTCATAAATTACTGCGGTTAATTCTTGGTGTCTGGCTTCTCCGTGTGAACTGGAAAACGACGCTGCGTGAATCCTGGGACGGTGCTCTGGGGCTGGTAGCCGAGGAGTGCCGGGAGAGGTTTGGGGTGTCCTGGAAGGCGATCCTGGCCCTCCTTCCCACTAATCCCATTAGCTGGCCCTGGCCTCGGTGACAGGGCGCTGGGGAGCCGGGCTGCAGGCTGGCTGCTTGCTCTAAGCCCTGCGCACAATGGAAGGGTGACTTCAAAGAGGCCAAATGTGATTTGCATTTCCAAGCTCTCACAGCCAAGGTCTTCAGGAGGGGATGAAAGTGCCTTTTGTTGAACTTAATGGCACAGCTGATTAAAAAAGCTCTGATTTTTCCCTATTAATGGCACTGTCAGATTCCACTGTCAGATTCCACTGTCAGGCTTTCGGCATCTGCGCGAGGATGAGTTCTGCAAAAAGAAGTACACGGAGAAAGTAACCTGTTTATGTTCATACTTAGGGATGTTCCAATATCATTTTTCCTAGTTCGAGAGCCATGTAGTAGCTGTCTTGGGTGTGTACCAGCATGAACAACAAAGAAATTATCAGCAAATGTTCATTAGGCACCTCCCTTTGCCAGGGCCTCAGCAGGGCCGAGGTGTCTGTCTTCCCAGAAAACGGGTCCCAGGTATCTCCCAACTGGATTCTTAAAGCACGAAAGTGAAAGGGCCGATTCGTGCAGCTGGGTGCGTGTTTCAGTGATCACGCATGCAGCCCCCTCCTCGAAACAGCCACGAAACTCCCTGTTGTGTGCCGGCGCTTGGCTGCTGGTTATCTGTCCAAAATCAGCAGTGACTGGTCTGGCCTTCAGAGGTTTGGTAATTTCCTTTCTTTGCTTTGTTTGAAGAATACGGGCAAATAATTTCACATCTGGATTTATGTATTCAATGTCTCCTATATTGCATAAAACAAAGCACCTAATGAAAGAAATCTGTCTGTTTAACTCCTGCCTTAGCTTTGGTTCTGTTTTAGCAATAACTGTTACCACACTCGCGGAAGATTGAGGAAACATTTCCTCTTTCAAGGGTATCAGTGCTGGGAGGGATTTGATTTTCTGTGTACACTTTAAATTCTGTCTCTGCTAGCATGACTCTTCCTGCTATGTTTATCAATATTAAGTACAAGTTTGGTCAAAAATAGAAACCAGCGTGTTAGCTGCTTTAAATAAACGTAAATCTTTTTTTTTCAGGCAGTTTACGTTTTCTCTTCTAATCAAGGCTGGGTATATTCCTGAACTCAGCCTTCCCCCTCACGCAGAACGCATTCATTCCATGCAACAGTAATGCCTATTTTGTCTGACCTGAAATGCCACTGCCTGTTTTTACCAGGCAGCTTGAAGCTTTTTTAACAAAATTTTCAAGATCTTGCTGAATATAAGGATATAATCCTTATAATTATATAAGCGCTACCTAAAGACCATAAAATCCCTTATCAGAGGCTCTTAATGGAGGGGACGGCGGCGCTGGGTGAGCGGCACCCAGAACGAATCGCGGAGCGAAGGCAGCCGCAGCAAGCCCCTCGCGTCGGCCGCGAAGAATGCAAGGGCCAGCTCCCTGTAGTGACGTTTTGTTGCAAAGTCGCCTGTGAAATGTTTCACCCTTTTGTGTTGGTGATTGGTTTCAGTGACGAGTATGAAGAGGACGGGTTCTGCCAGCCTTACAGGGGGATCGCTTGCGCACGATTTATTGGAAATCGAACCATTTATATGGAGTCTCTGCATATGCAAGGTGAAATAGAAAATCAGATTACAGGTGGGTAAGAAATGCGCTCGCTTCTTTCCCAAGAAGCTCTCTTTTCCCAGAAAGCTACTGGAGTTTTACGAACTGCAATACTATTTTTATTTCCTCTGTATCCTGTCTTGCTGTGAGCTTCCCACCACAAAGCTCGCCCCGGGCTCTTGCGTTGTGCCGTGTCAGTGGAGGGAGTGGTCTGAAGAGGGAAGGGCTGAGCAGCCTCCATCCCTCTGCTGATCCAGCTCCCCCGAAAGAAACTAAAATGTTATTTTCCGAGGAGAAGGGGCCGTGTATCTACAGCTTCTGGGAGTGGCTCAGAGCCAGGCTGCCTTGCGCTGCTGTTACCCGAGCAGATTTTAAATGCAAAGGGACACCAGGTTTAGCTGATGATTACGTGGCCGAGGTCATTTAGGAGAGCCATAGGTGCTGCAAGAGGCTGTGTAAATAACCCAGTAGGTAGTGTTTTCTCTTTAGATTTAGTAAAGAACTGCTTTCCATTGGGTTTGTGGGAGATGCTGTGCTATGGGGATGCTGAATTCAAGCTGAGGTCTCATAAATATCAAGGTACTTCTCTGATTTTTTATATACATTAACCTTGGCCAGATCCTGGCCAGTAATTGTCTTGTTTATATTCAGAATTTCTCTGGCTGTCAGAATATTCCAAATTTCTCTTCCCCTAAAGCGTTCTTCCTTCATTTTGTAACGGCTTTCAACATTGCGAAAAAGACTTTTGCGTTGCTCACAGGGAAGGCCAATGGCTTCTGTAGAGCCAACAGTTCATAATCTTACGCCACTTTGTTTGAAAAATCACTTGGAATATTACGAAAGCTGTCATTTTCCGTGGAGCAACTGGTACTGTCATCCTGCAGCCTACAGGGTCTTTGGTTTTTACCAGTTGGGCAGAAGGCATCCAAATATTATATGACTTTGCAAACCGTTATAAATTATTGGGGGAAAAAAAGTGTAATTAGGTTTGGGGTTTTGGTAACGTGCTTAACATTAGTCCTGTGTTGAAAACCAGCTGTATTTTCTCTGTCAGCGAAATCAGCGTCGTTAATAACTTTTAACGTAATTAGTGCTCTGTGTTTCTGGAAGGCCCGTTCATCACCTGCACATCTGAAAGTAATAGTCGCAATGGGAAGTGAGGGTTATACTGGGAAGGCAAGAGCACAGGAATAAAATTCCCACCGGGTTAAGTAAAATCCTTTTGTGTATTTTACAGCTGCCTTCACCATGATTGGCACTTCCAGCCATTTGTCGGATAAATGCTCCCAGTTTGCTATTCCCTCGCTGTGCCATTACGCCTTCCCCTACTGCGATGAGACTTCGCCAGCTCCCAAGCCGCGAGACTTGTGCCGCGATGAATGCGAAATTCTGGAAAATGTCCTGTGTCAGACCGAGTATATTTTTGCAAGATCTAATCCCATGATTCTGATGAGATTAAAGCTACCCAACTGCGAAGATCTTCCCCAGCCAGATAGCCCCGAAGCTGTCAATTGTATCCGGATTGGGATTCCAATGGCAGATCCCATAAATAAAAGTAAGTGAAAACCATCTGAGCCTCTGTGCTAGAAATACGACTGTGAAAGGGTTGGCTGTAAGGGCCTGTGCAGCAGAGCTGGAGCTAGTGCTGGGCTGCGAAAGCTCCCAGACGCCGTGCTCCTGAATTACCCCGTTCCCGCAGCTCTCCCCCAGCTAGTCCGGAGCAGGTAGAAATTCAGAAATACTTTTTCAGTTTTGTCTCTAGCTGCCTATGGGCTCACGCTAAATGCTATTTCATGGTTTCAGGTCTTTTCTAATTAATACAAAGTAGGAAACAATGACAGTGCAAGCGTCTGAATACTGACGAACATCGGTATCTTCAGCCTCTGGTGTGCTCCCGCAGCAGCCCGGTGTGCTCCAGCAAGACCCTGGCTGTGGTGCAGGGGTGCTTGGCAGGAGGAATATTTGCAGGGGCCGGCCCCATGGCTGCCCCTGCCTAATGCAGCCTGATTTTAGGCATCGGCTGAGCTCGCTCTTTGATCAGGCTGCAGCCCGTTCTCAACCCTTATACATCTCAATAGTCAAATATAAAACGTGGCTCCCACAAATTCTCCACCTTCATATGAAAATAATGGCTGCAATTCAGGCTCCCACTGTAGTTTTTACTTCTTTTGTGTATCTTATATTAAAAACGCTTGGCATAAGCTGTTTTCATTACAGAAGCATAAGCTTTAAATCCTCCCAGGAATGTGAATGCAAAGCAGGCCCTGAGTTACAGCCGCAGCAAATTGGGAGCCCGTGCTCCCAAACCGGGTTTCCCGGCCCCGGGCCAGCAGCAGTTCGCC